CAAAATGGCACACTGATCTGTGCAGTGGCCGAAGACAGAGGTTTACATTGAGAGCACTACAAATTTCGTCTGTGTGCGTATGTAAAACTCCAGATTGCTGGGTCCCTCAAGAGGTGAATTTAGGAGGAGCTGTGATTGTCTTCTATCTTAATCACCCACTCCCTGGAGACCATATACAGATGTCTCTGTTTACATTTGAATTAAATTCCTTCTAATAACATTGTGGTAAATAGTAGGTGAGGCGGTTTCATATGTCCCCAGGGCAAGACTGGGAAAGCATTTTATTGTCTCTCCTAGGTAAAAGCAAATCGCAATAGATTTTTATGGATTGCAATAATAAAGGATTGGCTTGATCATTTTCTACATCACATTTGAGAGATAAGAAAATTAAAACTGTCAGTTGGTGCTTTATGATGCCTGCAACTTAAAGCTTCCTAACTTACACTGAGCTGCCAGGAGTGAGCAAGTCTTTAAAGTGACCACAAGGGGGTGTTGAAGGACCACGTACCTCCCCTAAACACTCCATTCTGGCCCCAGTCCCTCAATTTTACTCCTTTAATGTCATCTTCTTGAGTTCCCTATGTTGTTTCATTTCCACAATTTTGGTCTACCTGGAAGGGTTAATAGTGGTTCCTGTCGTCTAATCTGAAGATAATGTATCCTGAGTTTGGTTTTTTTTTTTTTTTTTGTGGGACCCTCGCCAATGGTGGCCAGGGAACGAACCAGCGCTGCAGAGGCTGCGGGCAGCCTTGCAGCCCAGCGCTCAACTGCTGCGCCACCAGGGGAGGCCCTATCCTGAGTTTTTAAAAAACAAATCACTGGCAATAAAGCACTCAGAATGGACATCTGCGACCAGGGAACGGATGGCACTTCTTCCTACTTCAATAAACTATAGCTCTCCAAATCCATGTCTTCCCCACAGAACCGGTCATGGCTGACGTGTATTAAAGTGTTCTCTGTCACTCCTCTTCAGACTGTGTTGTTCCTGCCTAGTGGGCTCCAGGGTGAGGTCTAGGGTCCTGATAAGAATGGGTGAAGGACTATTTTGCAACCATCCCAGGCCAGGTAAGTTCACCATTGGTTGTAACAGTTTAAAAGAGAACTTTGGGGGGGCCTACCTGGTGGCCTAGGAGGTAAGTCTCAGCAGTGTCACTGCTATAGCTTGCGTTCAATCCGTGACCAGTGTGCTGACCCACATGGCGCAGCAGACCTCTCCTGTCTCGCCAGCTGCTCCCGTCAGCAGTGTATTTCAGTAGATCTGCCTGCTCTGCTCCCCACTCTGTCTCTGGTGAATGCTCTCACCTCGTGCACCTCTGACCTAACCCCCAGGTCTTCTATGTAAAAGTAATTAAAAAAAAAAAAAAAAAAAAGAGAGAGAGAACTTTGGAGGCCTTAGCGTCTTCATAGGTTTTCACAGGTTTTAATAGTATGCAGGGGAAACAAGCCAGCAGGGAGACAGCAACTTGAACCCTCTCCCCCAATGTGACGCCACCCTTATAGGCCTGGCCTCTAGGCACAGGTGTGCCCACTTACGCGTGCCCACATCATACTCCAGGTGTCCACAGTCAGGCACGCATGTCCTGGCCCACGCTCCCAAGCCCCTTCTGCATCAACACAATCAAGGCCACAGGTGATAGCCACAGAGGCCTGTGGTGCAAAAGCCTGATCAACTTCATTTACCCTACAAGGACACATGGAGACCTAGTTACACCTACTCTCCTTTTAGACCATTAGGTAGGTCTAGACACCCTTCAAAACCCTCAGGCCAGAGCACAGTACAGCCGAAGCCCAGCTTGGTGGCCTCTTCATTTAGATTCCCTATAGGTGATTCTGATTTTGAACTCTAGTACCTTTTTATGCCTTGAATGGATGGCCCCATCTGTATGTAACTGCTTTCTGCAAGAAAAGTCTGTAGATTGCTATTGGCACAAAGGCAGCAGGACAGCTCAGATCATGGCCTCAGTTCACTGGGAGCCGTTTCAGACCAGGGCAAATCCACTGCTCCCCCTGCTACGTTCAAATGCCACCGCGTAGCAAAAATAGTGACCCGCCTGACCCATACAAGCATCCAGTCAATGCTGAGTTTAAATTGCCCTCCAAGTTCTATAGGTACAGGTCAGAGAGCCGCACAGACTGCATGTCATCTAACATAGCAACGCCTAGATTAGGAACATTCAAGAACAGTCAATAACTCCACACTGAATGGTTTTCCAGGAGAGAAGGAAAACAGCCATTCCTCCAATTCTCTTTTTCCCAGCTTTCATAATCCAGATGAAAAGGGAATTAAGTGCCTGCATAGCCACATCAAAGGAGCAGTTACCGCTGAGGGCTCCTTACTTGGTTTTGGTCTTGCTTAATTCTAGCTGACTCACTTGGCCCCCTGATCCCAGATAAGCACTTTATCACCTGGCTAGAGCCTGTCAGATAAGAGCAGTTAGTTGTAGTTTACTGCAAATGAGGATTTGATACGTTTAAGCAGGGCACACATCTTTGAGCAGGGCACACATCCCATTTCCTTCGCCCGTGGAACTCTGGCTTGGCACGGAAATCCTCAGGGCAGGTAGGTGTGGACAATCTATGAGGTTGACTTTGAGCCTAACCATTCCTTTAGCGGGAGCCCAGCTGGCAACAGGTGACAGACACATGTCTGCTGCCATTTTGTGTTTCTCAAAGTACTTTGGTTAACTGTCATCCAGATTAGGACAACTGTTCCTTCCATCTGAGCAGTCACCCCCTTTTTAGCTGGTTAAGAGAACAGTTGCTTGAGTCCCCAAGCAGGCAGTGAAGGCTGCTCCCCCTCCTGGGGGGGCCGGGGAAGCAAAGGACCAAGCGTAAAAGGTTAGACTTGCCCATTATTTGCCAATGGCTTCACCGAGACCTGTCTAGAGGTTCAGGGGCAAATCTACTTGCCCTCAGTTACTTTTCATTTTGTCTCCCCAAGCAACAGACTGGTAAACCAGAGATCAAACTCTCCCCACATAGGAGGCACAAGGAGGTATCCAGATGGGCTATTTTCCCTCTTCAGTCTCTAGTGCCTCCTACTTCCTTTTGCCAAGGCTCTCGCCTTGCTCTCAGGTACTATGCCCTAAGGATCCCAGACAGCTTTTCCACATAAGGGGGTAAATGCAAGTTTACTGTAGGGTAAGTAAAAGTATCAGGCTTTTCTGCCCTCCCGCCATTAGGACTGATGATGGATCCCTGCAGTCCTGAATGCATGCCTAATGGCGGGCACCTGGAGTAGGGGGTGGGCATATGTAGATGCGATACACCTGGGCTAAGACTGGGCTTGTAAGGGTGGCGTCACTGGGATGCCAGAGGAAGAACAGCAGAACAGCAGAGCGAGAGTGAAAGGAGCAGAGAAGCCGGAGACCCCAGAAAGAGTGAAGACTTGCTGGGAGCTGGGAGGCCATCCTGCCTGCCATGTACCTGGGAAAATCCCAATAAAAGCCTGCAAAAGCTACCGAGGGCTCCAGGATGCCTCCTTACCCCACCTGCCGGATCATAGAGAACTTGCTCCGTTCCTTCCCGCCGCTACATTTACCCTCTGATTAGTTTCAGGAAAACTGCAGAAATCTGTAATCTTTATGTCCTTTATTTTCACTGCACTGCTCAAAGACAAGAAAGGTTCCCAGGCAGTTCTCCTCATAAAACCCAGGAGCTTAGTTCAAGCTTTAGATCCACTCCAGTGGGAGTGGCCTGACAAAAAAGGACAAAAAGAACTCATTTCTGGGTCCTAGGATGAGGAGTCTTTTTTTCCCCCATCAAGGAGGCGTCCCTGGTCTTTCTACCTGATCTGTTCAATCTCACTTTAACAGACAATCCTTATCTGGGCCCTATCCTGGCTCCAATAGATGTTTTATAAATACAATGAAAAGACAGCATAGTATGTATGTTTTTGCTGTATCATTTATGGAAACCATTTCTATGTACCTTTCAACTAAAGGGGAATTATAAAACATTACAGGAAGAAGTCTCTCCAGTAAGTTGGAAAATTCTCCCAAAACTCTAATCTCGAGTCAAATTGTATTTTCAGAAATGAGCTTACCAAATTTGGCACTATATTCTGGGGTACTTCCTAATATTACCAGTCTTTTTGATTGAAAGGAAGTGTAAGAAATTTATTATTTATGTTTGTATCTAGTATTTATGTTTTTAAGAGGTAAACTCTGGGGGCTGATTTTGTTTTCCCAAAAGCAGTTATCAAAACAGGTTAAAGGCTCAGCTAGCAGAGCGTAGCAACCCAAGTGGGTAACCTTTTTCAAATCAGAATGATTTTCCCATTGTAGCAAGCTAAAAAATACACACTTGTGGATGCATTTGTCTTGGCTAAAAGGTTTTAATGGCACAGCTTGTATAACTGAGCAAGTAATTACTACTCAATAAAAATCAGAAGCCTGGAACTCAAAAGATGAGCTGCAGAAATCTCATAAACGTAACACTGCAGATCATAGTCTGACAGCACCGCCAAGCCCCATGCATTATCACTCAGGCTCTCACTTTCTGTGGTGACACACACCAGAACTGTGACAGGAGTGAAAGAACATGACTTTTCTGTCTGGAAGCCCTGGGCTGGCACCCCAACTCTGTCAGTCTCTAGCACTCTAGGGATGCTAACTTCAACTCCACTGTCTTCCATCTGTAAGAGAGGGTAACACCCACCAGCACCTGCAGTTCGGTGCCTATGACTAAACATTTTATGTCAGAAGCTTACTGTATCATCTGGCACTTAGAAATTTATGTTGGCAGTTCAGTAACAATGGATACTAACACATAAGAGAAGTCTATGTGCTAATACTCTTAACATTTAAATTATACTTCAGATTAACATTATATTCTGATAAATTTCCTTGGCTCTGGCTGACTTTACTCATGTTTCTATCCTTATTTTTGAGTTAGTAAATGAGGGACACAAGCCACATGTGATTTTCCTCTACACTTTGGGTTTAACAGCAGCTGAAGCTAATTATAAAGAATACTTGCAGAATGAGAACTCCAATTACGAAAGACAAAATTGTGTGTCTCTTGCTTAAATTTGGGAGCCTAACTGCTCACAAAGGAATTCATAAATTTTTTTTTTTATTGTTAAGCTGCAACATACATGGTTTAATACAACAAAAAACATTTAATCAAGTGAAAAGTAATAAACTGAACAATAAACAAATAAACACTCAAAACAAAATATTTTCCATTGGAAACATGTTAAGATGAATACGGGGCTTTGTTTACCATCTTACTGCAATTTTCTTATGTGTTACTAGCCTACATACCCCATGTTTTCTGTAATCATGCAGATGTGAATGGAAGTTTGAATGATTAAATAAATGAAAAGTCCGTTTACTGCAGAGAATCATTTCACAAGGCAGCCAAACTGCTGAGAGAGCAAATTATTCAAATTCTCCTCGCATTTAGGTTCATTTTAGAATCCATGAACCTTAAGCTGTTCCTCCTTGACAATGCCAACCTGCAAAACAAAATTTAATTTCACAGAATCGCTCTGAAGAATATTTAAGTTCATCCCTAACAAAACACGGAGGAGGTCATTTAAAAGAATCTCTGTTAACAGAACACAATTCAAGACATTTGAATACCTCCAACATGCCAGCAATACTGAGATGATAGTTGATTATTTAACTAACAATTTACTTCATTCATGTGTTTTTCACTAAAGAGGAAATAATTCACATTGCCTTTCAGTACAATTTCAGAAGCAATCTCAAGGTTTTACATAAAGCACCCAATAACTTACCTCCAAAAGAAACTGGCAAATGTTTTTTCTTTGGTCACCTTGAAGCTGAATAACCTCTCCGTATTCAGGGTGCTCAATCACAGTACCATTACAGGCAAATTTCTGGAGAGTATATAACATAAGTGAACTGAGTCAAATACGAGGTTTTATTTTTCACCGTAAGACTAAAGTTATTTCAGTGTACCTGATTATTTCAGAAAGAGGTTTAGTCTCCTGTAATCCCCAACAGCCCCAAATTAATTTGCACAAGAATCAGCAGATCATAAAAAAGGAACTGATTTTATGGGGAAGAACAAAAGCTAAACGGTTCACTTTTTATTGTTTGAAAATAGGTAAATCTTACTTTAAGATGGGAGACCAGACATAAACTTCTGGGCATTAATTACAAGGATGCACACAGCTTTCTTGGGTCTAATCAGTTTCACCCACTGACCAGATTTAAAGTGTACATTAACAACAGTATTTTAATCTTTTTTTCCTAGCACCTTTACCTTTTTGAAAGCTTTCACAAGTTTCTTTTTGTCATAATCATCTGCAATGCCCTGCACAGTAGTCAGTGTCTTTCTGCCGTTCCGTTGCTGGATTCTTATATGAATGTAATCCTCAGTCCCTGCCGGGAGTAAGTCGTCACCCTTAGTTGCATCAGCAAAGGGGTCTGCAAAGAGATACAAAATAAAATTCCAAAGCAGAATATATTTTATTTTAGTAAGGACTCCCCAGGCAACTAGTAAACTCTAATCTAGGCAGTCAGCCAAGAAGCTTCTAGTGGCTCTGCTTTTTTGGGTAGGTGGGCATCTGGGGTGGGGGCATTAATAAAACCTGCAAGATACACTCAAAGCGAAAAACTGAAACAGATGTGTCCATTGACGTTATCGTTGCACGTCGAATGAGAAGCCTCTTAAAACCTTAATTTTGTAGCCACTATAAAAATGTGCGTCATCTCGCGTACCTCCAGCAGACAACTTCAACACTCAGACGTGCCCACCGCAACAATCACCCGTCCCTGCACCGTGCGCGGAGCAGAAGCTACATCCAGACCAAGAGCTGGAACCTCACCGATGCCCACGCAGGTGCAGCCTGGACCACTGTCCTGTGACAGCTCCGCGGCCTGCATCTGCATCTGCACCTGCATCTCCACCTGCACTAAACGTCCCCAGGAGCTGCTGGAGACCGCCCGGGCGCCACGGGATGCGGACCCCGGCCCGCACCCCGCCAGCAGCAGCAGCAGCGCAGCCCCGCGGCCGCTAAGGGGGTCGCGGAGGCGCCCAGGGGCAGAGGCCGGGCAGGGGCGGCGCGGGGTCCGCAGGGGGGGCCGGGGGGGAGGAGCCGGGTCTGGCGGCCGTCCTCGGGGAGGGGGTCGCCAGGGGCCCAGTCGCCATTTTCTGGGCTCCGAGACAAAGCCCCACTCGGGGTACAGCGGGGAGAGCGGCCGGGGGGGCCTCGGGGCGGAGGTCCGGCGGCCGGCCTGGGCCGGGCAGGGGTGGGCAGGGGCGAGCAGGGCCTGGCAGGGGTGGGCGGGGAGGGCACCGGCGGCGCGGGGCGCGCGGGTCGGGCACGGGCGGCAGCGGGCTCGGCTCTTACCGAAAGATTGGAGGTTCTGGATAGTGGACATGCGATACTAGTGTGAGGCCGGTGAAGGGATAAAATTCCTGCGGGGCCCGCCCGGATCACCGTGTCAGAAGGCTGTAGTGGCGAGAAAACGTAAAAAAATAAGGAGAAGCGTCGCCCCGGGCTTGGGATTCGGCTGCAGCGGCGGCGGCGGCGGAAGCCGGGCGGAGGCAGGAAGACGCCAAGGAGGAGGCGGAGGAAGAGGTGGCGGCGACGGATGCGGAGAGGCGAGAGAAGAGGCGGCGCTGCGGCTTCTCCCACAAAATGGCCGACGGAGACTATTTAGCCGCGCCCGCCGCCCCGCCCACGTGCCCCGCCCGCGCCAGGCAACCTGGGACTTGTAGTCTCCCCGCGGCGAGAGAGTCCGGAAAGCCCGGGCCCCGCGAGTTTCCGGGACCACAATTCCCAGCGCCGAGCGCGTCGGCCGGCGCCGGGCGGCGGGGCCGGGCAGGGTGCGGGCAGCGGCAGAGGCGGCCAGAGCCCGCGGGGCCGGGACGGTCTCTCCGCGCTCACAGCTTGTCTTGACTCGCCTTCCGCCGTTCGTTAGCGGGGCTAACGAGGGGCTGGTGCTGGGTGGGGAGGCTCCAGCAGTCACCTTCGAAGCCCGGGTAATGCCAATAAAATCGGGGTGCACAAGCACAAGTCCCCGGGTGCCGAACCTCTTGCATGGAAAGTTACACCCCCAGGTTGAAGGACCAGCGCTAGTGCCAGGGTCCCGCAAAGTTCGCGGTGGGAGCCCACCCTGCCGATTTGGGCCGAATTCCGAGCGCGGTGGTCCCAGAACTGCAGCGTACATCTCCCAAAGGGCTTCACAAAACACATTGCTAGACCCCAGACTCCGTGTTTAAGATCTGGGGTGTGCCTCGAGAATTTGCAAATCTGACCAGCTCCCTGGTGGTGCTGATGCTACTGATCTGGGACCATGTTTCCTAATCACTGCCCCGCCTCACCCGGGGCCAGCAGCCAGTGGGGGCCAAGTATGTGTTAGTCAAACAGACCAAAAAAACCAACCCATCCGCTTGAACACGGGACTTTGAACTGGCTAGGTTCCAGATACAAACTAACGGTGAGCTCTATTGATAGAGAGTTAGGTATCGGAAATGTAAAGTTTTTCTATCAAACTACCCACAGGACTCTGGGCATGGTTTCATCCAGGCTGGTGCTCGGTTGTCAAACTTAGTCGGCTTTCTGGAAGCAAAAAATTAGACTAAAATTTAAGGATTCTTAACTTCAAGGCTGCCACGGCAGTCTTGTGAAGCCTATACACCCTTTTTAAGAACACTGCTTTAAAATGCATAAACTAAAATATATAATTACAAGGGAAACCAATTTCATTGTAACTTGAAACTGCATTGGTAACAGTATTTTTTTTTTTTCCTAATGCATTAGTTAACAAGATCTAGCAGCCGGTCTAGTAACTGCTAGAATTCTGGAAAGATGATGTTGAGATGTCTTTAACATCAGAAATGAAACATGAAAATATCTGTGACTTTATTGATGCAAAGCCAATAGAACTTTGCAACAGGTCCTTCTAGTACCATTATATAATTACCAGCATTCACAGTGGAGGAAATGCTAAAATTTGTTTAGAGGTTAGTGAATCTCTCCCCAATTTTAGGGATTCCCTCCAGCACTGCAATTTAGTTCATGGGACAAGGATCTGCAGATGCCAGGTTAAGAATACTGGATTTAATAATCTTTTGTGATTAATGATGCTGCTAGGTACCATTTATTGAGTTTTTACTATTTACCTGTTATAAGACTTATACACAATATTATAATCTTTGTGGCCATACATACTGTGCTGTAGTTATTATTCTGTTTTACAGATGTAGAAATGAAGACTGTCATAGGTTGAATAATTGCCTAAAAGAAAATCAAATCCTAAACTCTCAACACTCTACCTTCTTAGTCTTCTAGTCCTGATTTAAATAAACACTTTTCTTATCCAAACTGAGGTGGAAAAGTTTTAGAGCTGTTTCCAAACAAGGAGACTATAATTTTGTTTTTCATTTGTTTATTACAGCTACAATGGTTTCTTACACTTTTGTAAGCATGCTTTAAAATAATTTTTAATACTGCTCTAGATGAAGTGCAGAATAAAAATGCACCTCTTTTTTTGTCTTCTCCTTTCTTACTAGGTGTTCATAATCATTATATATTACATTGTTTCTCAGAAGGAGCTAAAGGTTGTCCGGTGAGGGACAATGTAGCAAAGAACAAGTTAGAAATATGTAAACTTGGTAAGCATGCATAAACATGGTAAAATGTCTAGAGCAGCTTTCAAAAATCCAGAAATCTTAGAATATTCATGGTCATTACCCCTGTCAGCACCATGCACCGTTTCTATTTCCCAGTGTTGGCATCAGAAAACCCACAGGCACTCAGAAATCTTCAAAGTCAACTATGAATACAGATTAGATACAGTTGTGCTTATTATCTTAAAACCCTCCTGATTCTCTGGCCACCCATAGACTTGTGTTTAGACCCTCAATGTCCACCACAAGAACCTCTGAGCCACGCAAGGCCATTGCATTTGCATTGTAGCTGGTCTATGCTGGGGTGTACTCAACACTTTCAAAGACTTCAGTTGTCTCAATTTCACCTGTTCCTTTTTACTTTTAACTATGTTGCTACTAAAAGATTTTAAATTACATGTGTTGTTTCTACTAGATAGGGCGGATTTAGAGGAAAAGGATTTGACCTACACTAAAGTTACCATTAAAGGAATAAACTAAAGCATTTAAAATCTAGCATTTTTAGTTCGAAATGGTACCAGCCTGATATAAGGTGATTACTTTCTGCCCTATTACAGATAAGAGTTTTGATCACTTGCATAAAATAGTAGTAGTAGCTAAAAGAATCAGAGAAGATTTAAAAAAAAAAAACTAGAATAGTTGGAAAATAAAAGTCCCCATAGCTAGAGGCACCCCCTCCAATCTGTTCTTAACTTGCCAACGTGTAAGATGAAGAGAAAAAATCAGGTAGAAAAACCATGTCTATAGAAAGAAAACATACCAGTTTCACAGGAGGAATGACTTTGGCTGGCCTGAGCCGCAGGAGATGTTTTTCTTGGGCCCTCATAAAGGGGACACTGTGATGTAGTGCAGTCTCCCTAGCAGTTGCCCTCCCAGGAAGACAATGGTGAGTTTCATGCAGTTGTTTCTCATATCTGCTAATGGTCATGAAGACATGCTGGCTGGTTAGAACCTTCAGTCCTTATCCATCTATCGGTGGTTGGCTGTGGTAGACAGGTGATAAAGTGCCACTTGCATTTCCTGCTCCTGCCAGCATAACTGACCATCAGCCCCAGCTGCTGCACTCTGAATTCAACATTGTATTCCTCTATGGCTGCACCTCCCACTGGGCACTCCAGCCAATGATGAAGTGCACAGGGATCCTAAAGAGAGATGTGGGGTCCCTCTGAAACTGGTTACTTTACCCAAGGACTCTCCATTGGCCTGGCTGAACTTTCTGACACTGAAAGTCCAAGATTCTAATTTGTCTGTTCTTTGTTCTCCTTCACACGGTCTCCCCCTCTGGCTCTTTCCTCTTTCCCTCACAGGAACTTCACCCAATACATTTCTCGCACATCTAATCCCATCTTCATGTCTGCTTCTTAAAGGACTCACACCGACACACACACAACTCCATACCGTGTGGAACACCAGGGCTATTCTTGTGAGATTTGAGGGGTAGAAGGAGAGGAGCGCATTTGCAGCTGACTCACCCAGTTGGAATAGAGCAGTATCTGGGACTACCATGAAAGGCTCTACCTGCCCTGAATTCTCCTTCAGTTTTTCTTACTTATGAGCCAGTAGGTGTTTTTAGCTTCATGACAAAGAACCCCAGCACCTGCAAGTTACCCTGGTACCAAGCTCAGAAGCAACAGGAAAGGACATGCATTTCAGTCCATGCTTGTGGATTTTCAGCTCATGCTTCTGCCTTGCTTGGATCTCCTTAATTTCTCTTACTGGCTTCTACCCTGTGGATGCTGTGCTAGATGCAGAGATGCAGCCTTACAGGAGCTGTTTAACCAGCCCTCACAATAATTTCTGTAACAAATTCCTCTCTCTATATTTATGCGCTCTCAACGGAAAAAGCAGGATCAGTAAGATTATATGTATGTTTGCGTGTGTATCTTTATATACCACATGTGTATATGTGTGTGTATGGTGTGTAGCTATATAAATATACCACACACACACACAATTCCAGGTCTATGCGAGAATTGTTTCTCTAATCCTCTAGGGTGGTTCTTTAGAGGTCACTCTCTTTGAAGCTCTCTCTGGTCTTCTGTCTGTAAGTTCTAGCTGCTTTGGTGTCCTCGGACTCATTTATCTACTTAGGGAGTCTGCTGAGATTTGCCTGTTTCCTTCAAAACTCTTCCAAGGTGATAAGTGGGGTAATCTCAGAGCTCACCTTATCTGTTTTCCATCTCTCCATGTACTTCTTCATTTGATATATTAATAGTTTCTTGAAAAACTTTTGTTTCATATTTTGTCCTGTGTTTTTGGTTGTTTCAGGCATAGAGTAAATGCCGTACATTCATCTTGGTTGAAAGAACATTCATCTTGGTTGAAAGAAAAGTCTTTAAGATCTATCATGAGATTAAACCTTTAGCTCTGATGTGTCTGACACTTAAGAAAGGAAAAGCAACTTTTTAAGAATGATGATCCTTTACCTATCAATGGTGTAAATGTGTAAGTGTGTAAATGTGCAAGTGTGTAAATGTGCGCAATTTTTTTTTATCCAACTACGATGTAAATTTCTTATGGTACAAAAAAAAAATGTGCCTCAGAAGACTTTCAGAAATGTGTATTCATTATTTTAGAGCAGGAAAACCTTGGGTTGTTTTATGAAATGAAAATGAACCAACTTGTAAATTATGTAATTGGGTTTCTGTTTCTTTAGTTTGCCCATCCACCCACTTTTATAACTGAGACCTTACAACTTTTCTTAGTATTTCCAAGTACTGAGTAGAGAGTTAAATATACTGTCACTACTTGGTATGAGTAT